GTATGTATGTATGTATGTATGTATGTATGTATGTATGTATGTATGTATGTATGTATGTATGTATGTATGTATGTATGTATGTATGTATGTATGTATGTATGTATGTATGTATGTATGTATGTTTGTATGTACGTATATATGTACGTATGTATGTATGTATGTATTTATGTATGTATGTATGTATGTATGTATGTATGTATGTATGCATGTATGTATGTATGTATGTATCTATGTATGTATGTATGTATGTATGTATGTATGTATGTATGTATGTATGTATGTATGTTTGTATGTATGTATGTATGTATGTATGTATGTATGTATGTAGGTATGTATATATGTATGTATGTATGTATGTATGTATGTATGTATGTATGTATGTATGTATGTATGTATGTATGTATGTATGTATGTTTGTATGTAGGTCTGCATGTATGTGTGCATGTTTGTATGTATGTATAGATGACTGTATGTATGTATGTATGTTTGTATGAATGTATGTATGTATGTTTGTATGTATTTATGTATGTATGTATGTATGTATGTATGTATGTATGTATGTATGTATGTATGTATGTATGTATGTATGTATGTATGTATGTAGGTGTGCATGTATGTGTGAATGTTTGTATGAATGTATGTATGACTGTATGTAAGTATATATGTATGTATGTATGTATGTATGTATGTATGTATGTATGTATGTATGTATGTATGTATGTATGTATGTATGTATGTATGTATGTATGTATGTATGTATGTATGTATGTATGTATGTATGTATTTATGTATGTATATATGTATGTATGTATGTATGTATGTATGTATGTATGTATGTATGTATGTATGTATGTTTGTATGTAGGTCTGCATGTATGTGTGCATGTTTGTATGTATGTATAGATGACTGTATGTATGTATGTATGTATGTTTGTATGAATGTATGTATGTATGTTTGTATGTATTTATGTATGTATGTATGTATGTATGTATGTATGTATGTATGTATGTATGTATGTATGTATGTATGTAGGTGTGCATGTATGTGTGAATGTTTGTATGAATGTATGTATGACTGTATGTAAGTATATATGTATGTATGTATGTATGTATGCATGTATGTATGTATGTATGTATGTATGTATTTATGTATGTATATATGTATGTATGTATGTATGTATGTATGTATGTATGTATGTATGTATGTATGTTTGTATGTAGGTCTGCATGTATGTGTGCATGTTTGTATGTATGTATAGATGACTGTATGTATGTATGTATGTATGTATGTTTGTATGAATGTATGTATGTATGTATGTATGTATGTATGTATGTATGTATGTATGTATGTATGTATGTATGTATGTATGTATGTATGTATGTATGTATGTATGTATGTATGTATGTATGTATGTAGGTGTGCATGTATGTGTGCATGTTTGTATGTATGTATAGATGACTGTATGTATGTATGTATGTTTGTATGAATGTATGTATGTATGTTTGTATGTATTTATGTATGTATGTATGTATGTATGTATGTATGTATGTATGTATGTATGTATGTATGTATGTATGTATGTATGTATGTATGTAGGTGTGCATGTATGTGTGAATGTTTGTATGAATGTATGTATGACTGTATGTAAGTATATATGTATGTATGTATGTATGTATGTATGTATGTATGTATGTATGTATGTATGTATGTATGTATGTATGTATGTATGTATGTATGTATGTATGTATGTATGTATGTATGTATGTATGTATGTATGTATGTATGTACGTATATATGTACGTATGTATGTATGTATGTATTTATGTATGTATGTATGTATGTATGTATGTATGTATGTCGACTATTTTTTCGACCATGCCGCCACTAATTTTTCGACCGCCGCGACTAGTTTTCGGCCCGGCCACGCCTAATGTTTCGACCACCGCGACCTATTTTTCGAACACCGATGCTAATTTTTTGACCACTCGACGACTGACTCGACTAATTTTTGACCATATCAACCGATATACGCTATTGCCAGAGTTTGTCCGCGACTTAAAGTCCTGTCCAGACCATGGATTTTTGGTCGCAAATTTAAGTAATCTGTGACCAAAAAAAGTAGAAAAAATAGTCGCGGAGCTCGACGCGGGTGATTAGTTTAAGAAACACTGTCCTATGAGAAATCTAATTTAAATAACCCAAAAAAGTGCTAGGAGTTGCGTTAGCAAGGTTTTTTTAAAATTATTTCGTCTTTTCAAAGTTACTGCTTTAGGATAAAAGAGTATGATCTTCAGGGCTGTATACGACGCTGTAAGCGGAGCAAGACGAGCAGTTTTATGATTGATTGTCGCAAACACAAGAGGTAAGCGAAATTGCTGTTCTGGTCAACGTTCTGATTGTTGTAAACATTATCAATCATGGAAGGGTTTTTAAAAAAGCTGCTTTAATTATCTTTACTCAAGGCAAAACAGTTTAGGAAATATTGGGATAACTTTGAACGCAAAACTGGTGTTCACAAACTTTCGTCATGAAAGCATTGAGGGTCTTTTGGGGTAATAAGTACTAGGTTATTAGGTATCTAAAGGGTCTTATGGATTTCAAAACGAATAAATGAAACCCACAGGTTAAAAAACCCCAAAAAGTCAGGTTTAGAAACTTTAATGTCCCCAAATTGAAAAAATTGCGTATTAAAAATTTTCACGCCACATTGCATCGAAGTCAAACGGAAATGAAATTGCAAAATATTGATCAGAATTTCAATTTAAAAATTTTTTTTTTCAATTACAAAATTTTGACAAACAAAAAATTTACCTCCACAAATTTTTTTTGTAAAAACCAAAGATTGTTTAAATCGTTCAAAAATTCTAATTGCTAAAAACATAATTTTTTTCTTTTTTGTTTTAGTTTTGCTCCGACTTTCAAAAAATCACAAAACAATTGTGCTTGGATGACTTTCTTCCACCCTTATTTCGACCTTTTACCTAATTTTTTTCAACAAAATTTTTTATGTCATCCGAAGGGTTTTGTTGTCTTAAGCTCAAAGTTATATACATTTTTCAGTTTTGATCCTGTTTTGTAATGTTATGGGGGTTTCAGATATTGGGACAATTAACGCGCTTTGTTTTGCATGCTATTTAAGCGGCAGCAGAGATTAACTCGTCAAAAAAAAATGTTTAAATTGGGTAATGCAGGAAAGTTGACATATTTATTACGTTTTTGGGAGTGAAACATATCTAAATGATCTCAATTTTTTTAAATTTTTTAATTTTTAGAGCAAAATCATCATTTTTTCTAATGCAAATACACTTCAAAAATTCTAACCGTTTGGGGAGACAATGTGTTTTTTGAAACTACTCATGATAATTTTTTCAAAGGGCTTTAAAGATTCTGTAGAGTTTCATAGAAAAACTCACTCATGTTGAAATTCATTGTTAAAAACTTCAATTTCCAAACTTGATCTCTCCGCTATCAACAAAAATGTTGTCAATTATAATGAAAATATACTTCAAATCTATCTTCTTAGGCTCACTTTGCTAATTAGTATAATTACTCACCGCGTTTTAGCTTGAAAATTCTAATTTCACTCTTCAACTTGCTAGCAGTTAGATCAAAACCCTAAACATTACAAGGGTAGTTGCACACTTTTGTGTCTGTATGTTCTTGAATTCCAGAGACCAGTCTTCAAACTTGTTATAAAAGGTAAATGGATTCCAAAAATCTGTAACGTATTTTTGTCTGCACATTATTAGTTTTGTTGCGGATTCCGCAACGAGCAAGTATAATTAGTTGTTCCGGGTTCCCAAATGTTAGCGGATTCCGTTTTCAATTTGCGGATTCCAATTACAGTTACGGATTCCAAGACAGCCTAAATTTACTAAATACATGACTATTATTTACGTATTCTACAATTTTTTGTTGCGGATTCCGCTAAGTTGCCTGTTTTTGGAGCAATTTTGAACAAAACAGTGTTTAAGCTTTTTGTCTGTGGAATCCAAAACTGCAACGAAGGTCAAAGAAAAACAGCAAAGTGGCGGATTCCGCAACGGCTCTGTTTTTGGCCGGTTGCGGAATCTGCTTACATTTCACAAAATGCACACTTTGGCCTGGTAATGAGGTTTTTAAGTCCTTTGAATACACGGGCAAAAACTACAACCCCTTCAAAATTTTTAAATTTATTTCACTATCTAGCCCAGATTTTGTGGGACAAAAAATGCACAAAAATCATGGCAAAACCAACCCTCGAAAAAAACTATCACTTTGCACTTGTATAGAACAAACATACTTCAAAAGTCAGGGAAGTTATTGAGAAATGGAACAATATAAAATGTCTCCTTATTATTTCGCGGATACGTCTTTGAAGTTGAGATCACTGCCATCATGTTTTTGAAAACGATTCGTCGCGATGTTCTTGAAGAATATCCTTCAAAGATCAATGACTTTTATTGATTTAATAAATTTTTTTTCCTAAGTAACCAAACTCAGACAAGGTTGTGGTTCGTTTGTTGATTAATATTGAAAATCAACCAGTTAATTTTGTTTGAGAACTGTCTGTGGAATTCGTTAGTCTAAATATTAGGATCAAAATTATTGTACAAACAAAACATTTGTTCGAAGAGGTTAGCAAAACATCACATGGCGAAACTTCTTACATGTTTCGTGTTCCATACAACTGTCGGTAAATTATGAGCACCATTCGTCTACTGTTTGGAAATCAGGAACTAAATTTAAGATAGACAACATTGAGACTAACCCTAACTGCTTTTGTTTACGAAATCACGAGAAATAAAATAAACAACAAACTTTTTGATAAACTTTCAAATAGTTTATTTCATAATTCTGGTATACCGGTTTCAAAGTAAGTTGATTCCAAGCGAGCCAAGAAAACTTTTCCAATAAAAAATAATTAGTTTTCTCTTGTCAGTCGAAGTATATCCATTTCAAAAACAAAATACTTTTATTTAATAACGCCGATTTTTGTCGTAACGCGTATACTTTTAAACATGACTTTCGAAAAAAGTGTCACAACTATCGTAAGAATACAAATCCCTCGCTTTTGCTGTCCTTTTTGAACCCGGTGATACTTGTCAAATCTGAAAAAAATATACCATTATATCAAAAATTTGAGTCCATTTTTGGCTTTAAATTGATAAGGCACACGGAATGGAGACCTCAGATATTTGCATATTAGGTTTTGAATTTTGTCAAAAACTCTGTGTTTTTAGATGAACTACTTCGTTTCCGTTGCTGTTTTGCTGCCACTTGTGTTCGCTGGTACAATCTCAGTTTCACTTGAGAGGGACCCCCATGCTGAACTATTTGTGGCATGGAAAGAAAAGTACGGCAAAGAATACATTTCAGGAGTAGAGGAAGTATCCAGATTCAACGTCTGGAAAGAGAATATGGAAAAAGTGAGCTATAAAACCCAAATTATTCATAAAACCCAAGTACAAATTCCGTAGCTTTCATTCAAACTCGAAAGTAATTGATAGCAAAAATAAACGTTGCTGAAAACTCTAAAGAAGCTTTTGATGAAAATATGAAACAAATATGCGCTTCAAAATGGCTATTTTGCTTTTTTGTCAAGCAATTTTTAGATTCAATATTACAGGAGAATGTTACAATTTTTTTGAAGTTTGTTTTTACAAACGGTTAAAAATACAAATTATGTTTATAGGTGATGGAGCATAACCTCAAATACGACCTCGGTTTGTCCAAATATACCCTGGAAATGAACAAATTCGCCGACTTGACTTCCGAAGAGTTCGGTGCCCAGCGTCTGGGTATGCGAAAAGCCCTCAAAGCCGGTCCAGTTAGTGGAGAACCAGTCGTTTCTGTGAAGAGTGTACCTGACAGCATTGACTGGAGAACTTATGGGTACGTCACTGCTGTTAAGGATCAGGGTGCATGTGGAAGTTGCTGGGCTTTCTCAACAACTGGAGGAATTGAGGGGCAACATTTCAATGCCACAGGTGAAACAAGAAAGAAAAAAATATATATTTTTTTAAAATTAAAATCAATTAAGCACCAATTAAAACACAGGCTGGAGTCTCTTAGATGAAAGTTCCGAATGACGGAAAGCCGTATAAAGGTTGATTTCAAAAAAAAATAAACTAGAGCAGTGAATTTGATATCAGCCAAACTCAAAATCAGCAATGTCAGTGAAAGAAAAAAATGTTTATGAAATCACGAAGCACCGACGCGCGCTCACCGCCGGGCCACTTGGGCTTAAACCCTTAAGCTTGTTATTCAGAGCTCACTCTTTTGATAATTTAATAGGCGTTAGCTAAAAAATTAAATAAAACTGAGAGTTGATTGCTGATTTGTTTTCACCGTAATTTTGACCGGGATCCCTTTGACACTGATTCATTCTTGAAATTTTAAATTACACAATAATGGCAGCTGCCAAATTTTGAGCTTTTACTCTCGCGTTGGATCATCAGACAGAAGTAAAAAACAACAGTACAATCAAATTTTTGGACAAAATGCACATTATAGAAAATGAAGTTTTGAAGTTTTTTTTTTAAATTTTTGAGCCGTTTTTGAGCGAACTGATAGATATCTGTGCTCATTCGGGGTTTCTCTTCCCAAGAACTGTTTTGATTTTTAAATTGAAAAGTATGGCGTAACTTTTGATACCTTTCAAAAGATATTAGTCTACTGAGCTCAAAATTTATCTCACCTGCTATAATTTTTGTCTGAGCATGATGGGTGTTCGAAATCTGCCAATTTGACATAACGCGCAATAAACATCGTTCTAACACGCGCAAGCAGCGAAGCAACTCGGCTTAGAAATCGTTCCGAATTGAAATGAGGTGGGCTATTCAGGATGAAATTTACGTTGCTCTGAGCTAAAAATTTGATTTCGTAATTAATGCAGAGTGTGGATGATAACTTCAGCAAACCTCAATAAAATCAAGTTTTTATCTTTATTGTCCAGGGGTTGTTTTTTTTTAAGAAAATTTGTTCCATAGACAATAAAGAACAGTCAAAACATTCATTGACTTTCCCTGAAACGAGCAGTCATCTTTGCTTATATGGCGCTAATGAAAAATTATGAGCTCATACTAATTAATACTGGATGTAAATAATATCATAGCTAATTTCTGGTTTAAAATTAAAAAAAAAATTGTTTTATTGTTTTAAAAAAAGGTCTTGTTGATGCTTTTGGCTATAATAAAATTTGATAGTATCAGTGCTCAGCCCTGAATTATTTGATCACAGTTTAAAGTCAATGAAAAATGTGTCTAGAAAAGTGTGAATTATCGAAGTGTTGATTCTATTTTCTAAGTTTTTTTTACTCATTTTTTTTTCATTTTTAACCCATAGGCTAGAAAAAGTCAAAATTCACAACCTTTGCGTCTTATACCGTAACAAAACAAGTATTTGAAAGTATTGCAATTTTGGCCTAGTTAGTAACTTTCAGAACCCAATAACACTGTAAAAAACAGTGACATATTAATAAGTTCTCAATTAAATCCGAGATATCAAAAAGTTATAAATAATAAATACAATTCCTTAAGTGGAAAAAGAACCAAGTTGTATGTCTGGTTGCATTAATGCAAAATTCTGAATGTTCTACAGTTATTTAAAATCCTTTTAGACTTTATTTAAAATATGATAAAATAGTGAGAAAAAATGGATACAAATGTTCGTTTGTTTTTCGTTTTAGCTCGCATTTTCTTGAAAAACAAACTGATATTATTTTAGTGTGATAAAAAAACGATTATTTTGCATCATTTCTCTTTTCCGTTTTGAATGGTTTTTACAATGTCGCTAAATAAATGCCAGTAATTGCTGAAATCGGCAATGTTCAAACAACAACAACATTAAGAAAAAGAGTAATACATCTAATTTGAAATATTTATCTTAATTAAAGCTGGGGATATCAATAAATTTTAATTGATTCAAAAACTCCAGTCACAAATAGCCTGTTACTCAGGAGAAAATTTGTCCCGTGAAAATATCGGTACAACAAGACTGCTGATATATGTGTTTTATTCTGCATATGTTAATTTTTTATTCGCGCGTACCCACAATTAAAGTAAAAACATTATTTCTGTTTTTGTTAATTAACTGTCGCAAAAAACTTCACAATAGCTGAGTGTCTAGATACTTTAAATGACCATTGTCGACTAACCAACGATTCATCAAACAAAGTTTAATTTCAACCAAATCTGTTCAGATCTTCGTGTAAAACTGGCTGTGAATGACTTCTGAAAAATCCCTCTCATAACCAATCCGATATCAGGTGCTAAGTTATTATCGTGGCAGATTTCAACAGATTCCCATTTTTCGGTTTAACAAAATTAATAATGTGACAGATTTTTTTGTGTTTAACAAAATTAATATTGTGACTTTTTTGGCTATCCTATCCATCTCATGATTGTAGCAGAAATTTTATCTCTACCTTTGTTTTATCATTTCAGGAACCCTGGTCAGTTTGAGTGAGCAGCAATTAGTGGATTGTGATTTTACTAACTTCGGTTGTCACGGAGGATCCATGAGCGGAGCTGTAACATGGTTGTCTAAAAATGGGGGCTCGGTTTCGGAAAGTGACTATCCTTATATTTCCGGAACCACCAAAGTACGTGGATCTTGCCAAACCGGACTTTCAGTGTAAGCTAAGAAGTTTAACAACATCATTTGTTGCAATTCTAACAGCTGTCTTTATAAAAAAAAATGTTTTTGTTTTTCTCTAAAAGGCTTTTAATGGTGTACCGATTAGTAATCACAGTGCTGATTTAAATTAACCGGACAAAAATAACAAAATTTGAATTTTCAAAAACGTTTTCCGCAAACTGGGATAAGATTAGACAAAAAAGAGAACAAAAGTTACTTAGAGTTTCATCAGAAATAACAGGGTGCGTTTTTTTTCTCCGAAAAACCCAACCAAATTTATACCCGAAAATTGGGTCATTTTGGCTTTTTTCAATTAATCAAAAATTACGCCGAAACTACTTTGTTAATTGATGAGGATTATGTAACACTTGCTCAGTCTCTTGCTCAGTCCAACAAAGTTCCAGAAAAATTAAATCTCCAAAACTTTGAATAAAGGGTTCAAAATTCGCTTTTAAGCCAAGGTTTTGGGTTTTATATAGTAAAAATCACGTTTCTTGACTATCAAGCAAAAATATTTTCCCTTATACAATTTAAAACAAACCTTCCTATAATTTTGTTGAGCTTTGTAAGAGGCTTCTTATGAATTAACTTTCTCATCATTTAACAAGGTAGCTTCAGCGTAACTTTTGGTTAAAAGAAAAAAACCATATTGACCCATTTTTGGCTAAACTTTTGTTTCAGAATTTTGGTGGAAATACACCATGATAATTTTGATGAAACTCTAAGTAGCTTTTGATCTCTTTATTTTTTGTCTAATCTTAACTTAATTTGAGAAAAACGCGTTTGAAATTTCTTTTTTTTTGTTTTTCCGGATAATTTAAATCAAAATTGTACACCCTTTAAGTACGCTAGATTGTTTTCTGAGCCAGCTGCGTACATTTAAGTTTTTCGAGCTTAGTTATACTGTTACTCCACAAAAATAGACCAAAGTTTCAAACATCGCATCATTGTTTTCTTTGGACTTTGCAAATTATTCGAATAATTATGTTTAATTAGATTCTACTCTTAAGGTAGTAAAATTGTAAATTAAAAAACAGTAGATTACGCTCTCTAATTTGGCACCAAAATTTAGTGTTATTATTTTGATTTTTGGTAAAATTGACAAAATATTTTTGCTTGTTTGGTTTTTTATTCGGTTGAACTTCAGTTGTTATTTAAGTTGTTTGAGACAAAATTAATTAAAAATATACGTTGGATAACGTTGCCTTGAGCTCAAACCTAATTTTTGTTCCGACTTTCGATACGAAAGTAACGGAATATTTGTGCTCGGGGCGGGTTTTTTTTCTTCAGACAAAATTCGATTTTTTAACTAGCCATTTTTTGACGGAAAGTTTTCATATCATTCGAAAGGTATTGTTGTCCTGAGCTCAAATTTGAGAAGATATTTTATCTGTGATCATTTTTCGTAAAGTAACGGGGGTTTAAATATGCCATTTTGGCCAATTTGGGACAATTAACACCCGATAAAGTTCGCGCTATTAACGCGTAAGTGGAGAGTTATCCGTCTTAAAAATCGTTCCAAATTGATTGAAAGAAGCTTATTTGCCGTAATTGATTTGTTACAAAGAGCGAAATCTATCTTTTTTTTTATATTGGCGTGTGGGGGGATGGTTTTCATAAAAAAATTCAAATTTCAGAATTTTTTTTTTTCATTTTGTCTTGTTTCATTGAGTTTTTAGGTTTATTACTGCTCCATAAACCTTAAAAGACAGTCTGAACATCCAGGGCTTCGCCCTGATACGAGCAGTTTTGTTTACTTTTAGTTATTGTGTGTTATGTTACGTGTGGTTCTAAAGTTTCTAAGTTATCACATTTTTAATAATTACCGCGCGATCTCTTGATTTTTTATAGCACGCGTGATTGGCTAATCTACACAGATTAAATGGAGGCCAGCAACTTGGTTGCTATTATGAAGGTCTTATATGAATTTCTTATATGCTAGCGTGCGGAAACAAAGGAAAGACAAACGAGTCCATTGTTTTTGTTTCATTTTTTGGATAAATGTTTCAGCGATTTCTGGATGCTTCTGGCAGTCGCAAAAGTTTGGGATTTTCTCTAATAAACAAGTTGTTTTTTTTTGATATATTACAATTAATCTATATTAGCCACCTCTTTGAATCCAGTTTATTTATTTGTTTCTTTTTCAGTGCTGCAACTGTTTCGAGTTATGTTGGCCTCCCAAGCTACAGCGAAGACGCTCTGAAATCAGCTGTGGGAACTGTGGGACCATGCTCGATCGCAATTGACGCCAGTGACATTAGCTTCCAGCTGTACAAAAAAGGGATTTATGATCCTGAAATTTGCAGTCAGTACGCTTTGGATCATGGAGTCTTGGCAGCAGGTTAATAAGATATTACTAAGGACACCTTAAAGAGGTTATTAAGGAGGTTATTAAGGCTTTTAAGAAGGTTATTAGGAAAGTAATTAAAGACACCCTGGTAACTTAAAATTATCACTAAACTTCAGTCTTATAAATCGACCTAAATACGTTTTCGATGCGTCGCATAATTATCATTATAAATTGTTTTTGGTCTTTTCATCAGAAAATATAAGGTTTTCTAAGGTTTATAACCCAAAGTCAAACCTGGGACAAGGTCACCAAACCAAACGGTCCGTTTTCAAATATTACAAGTTTTAGTTTCGAATACAATTTTGAGCAAGTCCCTCTGGAACTACTATGGAAAACACTCATCAGATTCATTGAAAAAAAAAACTGCTGAATTTAGGCTTAAATGAACTTCAAATTTAGGAAAGATTTATTTTAAAGCCGGGCTTTTTAATTGAGCTTGATGGAAATGTTACAGGCTACGGAACTGAAGACGGAACTGATTACTGGTTGGTGAAGAACAGCTGGGGGACTAATTGGGGAGAGGCGGGATATATCAAGATGATCAGAAACCACAACAACAAGTGCGGAGTTGCCAGTCAGGCCATTTACCCTGTAGTTTAAACTACCCAAGAACGGTTTCAAAGATACCGTTTGGAAACCGACATATCGTCAACAGCAGAAGAAACGGATAAACTAACCGAAAATTTTAAAGACCAACTTGAAATACAACCAAATTACAAAGCGAACTTGTAGAGATTCATACCAACTTATTTGACAGACAAAACTGATTAATTAATAACACAATTGCTGATGTTTATTGACTGACTGCTTATTTATTGAAAAAATTTAACTGACATTAAACTATTTTAAACAGTAACATTTACTTTATAAAATATAGTTTTAGCGAGGCATTTGTTGTTTTTCTTTCAAAATTTAAGGTCTATTTATAAGTTTAAGGCTCAGGACAACAATACTTTTTAGGTGATTAAAAAAACTTTTAAAAAATGGCTAGTAAAAAAGTCGAAATTTGTCTGAAGAAAAAAAAACACCCTGACCACCAATATTCCGTTATGTTCGTTACAAAAGTCGGAACAAAAAGAGTTCTTGTCAGTTTGTTTAGATTTGTTTAGAATTAAAAAAAGTACCCAAATCAACTTTCGTGGTCTTTTCATTTGTGTCAAATTATCTGCCTGCTGTCGAGCGTTTGTTTCCTTCTTGCACATTGGCAAGATATCTTCGAAATTTTTTCCTAAAACGAATGCGTTGAAAAAATGATCGTAGGACGGGCGATTGTTTCTACTTATGCATAAAGTTGGAGATATAAGCCAGATGATTGACAAAAAAGAGCTTCGATGATTTATGTCTATTAGCTTGTGTTAATTAGTTTGTGTAATTTAGTAACTTTATTTTTATCTAGAATAAAATATCCTCCACCCTATAGTAGTTTTTGTCCTGAGAAAAAATTGAAGCGGCTTCAATCATTTTTGAAAAATTAAAGTGTTGATCAGATTTGTTTTTTTTTGTGAATTGCATTACAGATTTTTTGACATACTGTGAAGAGAGCACAACTAATTTAAACCTGATCAATACTTATTTAGCCAATACATCATTTCAAATGGGGCTGTTCTGTACTTTGGGGTTAGGACGTTATAAAAAATTAACCGAAAAAAAATGAAAAAAATTATATATTTTGAATGTAAATCAGAAAACGTTAAAATCACACTTTTAGATCTTTTAAGGAATTTTCAGATTGCTCAGAAGAAAAACAGCACAAAAACAAACTACTCGAGGCGCTGCGTAGGCTGAAAATTCATCACCTACAAGATCTTGGTTTCGGAGATTGATAAACTGAAACAGTAAAAAACTTTAAAAAGAAGAAAACCAACAAAAAAATCACTGTTAAATAACCCCGGAGAATAGTAAAGATTTAAAAAAAAACGAATTAATTTCATGTATTGAAGTGTTTTCTGTTAATTGATGAAGTTGATTTTTATCAAGCTTTGAATCTTTGTGCATTGGGTCATCAGTGATGACCGGGAATGAAAATAAATTTCATATACAATTTACCGAGCACATCAGATACTGAAAAAAATAAGATTGTGGTAATACTAAGTTTGTCAGCCATGTTTCGAAGGATGTTTTTTTTCAATAAATCTAAAATACACTCTCTCTACACCTGAAAATTATCTACCCCAATCAAAAAAGTTAGTTCACAATTATTTTATTTCTTTACCTCTTTTCATTTCAGTGATGTAAGAAAAAGTTTTAAATTTGGCGAGATAAATTTCTACAATAGTTTCCTACAATAAGTTTCCAAAAACATCGGAAAGATTTTAAAATAATTGTTTTGTTCAATTGAGGCGCGCTTTAGAATTCTTGGCAAAATTTTTCAAATGAAATTGAAGAAATGCAGTTTCGAAATGTTTTGGATCAAGCTTTTCTCTCTTTTAAAAAATTTTAATCCGCCGAAAATATATTTAGCCAACAAAACGAAAAAATTGAAGTCCGTTTCTTTAATCAGTGTTATACCAAAAACTTTTTTCTCAGTTTTTAAACAGCAAAAAGTTTTCGAAAACTTGATTGTACATCAGTATTTTAGACAAGGCAATCCAGCATTTGTGTCAAACTTTGTTGCAGAAGTCTGCTAAATAAAATTGCATGGTGCGGTTTGTTGAAAAAACAAAGTTGTTCAATTGCGCTAAACAAAAGTAAAGGTCAAGATTCGTTCTCCAGATGTGATTATCTCTGATTTTACGCCTTGCTAATGTGCTCAGTGACTCTCTCCTCTGTGGTAGAAGTAGTATAGTTTTTATCATATTTAATCGTTTTTTGATCAAAAAATCACAAACGGCGTTTCACAAAGCACGCTTTTCATCAAAAAATAGCTACTATACCGTTTTTCTAGTTTGTAGCAAAAATTCCTAATAGTTCATTGCAAAACAGTGTAGCAAAAAAATTGCATAAACAAACTCTTTTTTTTCCATCTTTTAGTGATCACCCCTTTGTTTGAAAGATTATCTTCTCTAATCGCATTTTTTTGGGGACAAACAAAAACTTCCAGCCTCTCACTGACCAGAAGGCTGTAAGCTAAGGTGAAATAAATTTCAATAAGTAGTGATAACCGTCACTTGGTACTCAATTGATTTATCAACTTTTTGACAGTATACTCGATTTTTTAGGCCAGAAAAACCCATGAGATCGATTTTTTTCAGGAAATTGTTTTCAGTTAATTAAACTCTTGGAACATTTGGATGGGAAATTTGCACAATTACAACAAAATGACACCAAATTGTTAAAAAATAAACTTTCTGCAAAATTTGTTTTTCAAATTTAGTTTTCTTCTTCCTGGGCCCTTTTTTAGAACTAGTTTGATAGTAACTTTTCATAAAATTCTCATATACTGCCGCCAATAACGTGCTAGGATTGATCTTAAAGTCAATTATAAAAATCAAAATCTGCATTTTGCGTGCGCCGATGAAGGACTAGTCATTCAGTGAAACTATCCATTCGAGCATACCTTATCGCGCAAGTTATTGTTTGGTTTGCGACTGTAGACTGAGGTAAATAACCAAAAGTTTTCTCGAATTATTTTTCACACCGCAGTTCTCTTATCCGACTGCTCTCTGCTAAAAGTATGAAATACAAAAAATTTCTATCTGAGTGCCTCGAAGTCTCCACGAAAGGTTAAGGTATAGTCACTTTTGTGATTGAATTTTTCTGAAAGCGCAAATTTTAGCTCTTATAACTTAATAGCATATTAATTTTGATATGCATAAAAGAAAACTCATTTCAACCTTGTTCGATGGTGTTTGAAATTCACGACATCAGTTAACTTTAACTATAAGCTCTATTATCCACGGGGGAAAGGACCAACACAAGAGCTGTACAGCTCATCACGGCGAACCGCTGTTGTGCCCCTGTTTAAGAACTACATGCAATTATTTTTTTTTGGTTATTTTTCTGGGCTGGGTAATGTTGCTTCACCCTCAAGCAACGAGCACGGATCATGATGGGCCTCGAACATCCGACCTTTCGATTGAGAGGCGGATACGTAACCACTTCACCACCGCTCCCCGGTGAGAGAGCAGCAAACATTTTCATTTAGCTAACCTACCCGTGCACAATGAAGGCTGTTTTTATAGATAGAAATATTAAATACAATTTCTAGCCATTTTTTTGTATTATCTGTACCGAAATGATTTTTTTCGTTCTTAGTTTAAAATAAGCAAATTATGGAAAGAAATAACCAGAAATTACTTCACTGCTCAACCGCAACGATATAAGCATGCTTCGAGTATGCACAATAGCCGTAGCATTACAATGCAAATTAACACTTGTTATAACAAGTTTGGTTTTTCATTAGGTTATTAGCACAGGCCTTCGGTTAACATTGTCGCGGTTAGCATTAGCACAGTAGCGGTTAGCTCAGTTGCCTTCAAAATGGGGGGTCGGGAGGTTAAGCCCCAGGGCGAAAAAATTTTTCTAGCTAAAAACTGCCTAGATTTAGCTATTTTCTGATCAGAAAAACAGATTCGATATAAAAAAATAGATATAATGAATTCAGAAATAATAGTTTTTCTTGGTACGCCCGCACTGGAGTTTTATGGGAAATAATCGATTAAAATTGGTTATATCGGCAAAAAATTTAACCCATAAAATCGATTTTCATGACGTATCCAACCATGAAAATGAGTTTTTGAGGGATTATAACAGATTTTTTCCAATCTTCAAAAATCAATTGTAATCAAGTTTTTTGACAATATACTAGGCCAGCAAACCCTATGAGACATATATTTTTTTTCAGTAAACTGTTTTCAGCTAGTTAAACTTTTGGAACATTTGGATGTAAAATTTGCACAATTACAACAAATTGACACCAAAATTTTAAAAAATAACATTCTGCAAACTTAGAAACGTTAAATATATTGATCCCTTTAAGAACTCAGCCATTTTCATCCCTTTTCTTTGCAAAATTCACCAATTACCTTTAAAAAAATCCACTATAAACAATCAAAATCGATTATAGTGGATCATATCGATTTAAAACTTTTTATAATCATAATCCATTTTTTGCCCTCTCATTGTTTTCTGATAATAATTTGCATATTTACCATAAACGATTGAGGAAAAATTATCCAAAATTTACCATTGAGGAAAAAATTCTCCATCTTCATAAAGTGAAATACATTCAAAAATCCTACTTTGGTGAGCTATACTTTTTTTTCACAAGACTAGACTGTAGACTATGACCTAGTAAATATACAGTATGATTTTTGCATTATTGATGGGGGCTATTATTTATTGTGACCTATAATGGAAGCTTGCCCAATTTTTTCTTTACTTTTTCACTTTTCCTTGAAAGCAGAAAATAGGAAGCAGCTATTAAATTCATTACACGCCCGCATTGGCTGCTTTCTATTTTCTGCTTTCAAGGAAAATGAAAAAGTAAAGAAAAAATTGGGCAAGCTTCCATTTGATGGATACTGACTATGAAATGACAATATAATCGATAAGTGTCGATGAAACTCCAGTGCGGGCGTGTAATGAATTTGAACAGTGGATACTCTGATTCTGGATGGATAGTACGGTCTACTTTGAGTCATATGCATACTTTTTTCGAAACTTTTAAAAGGATCATTGCAAAAGTTTGCCAGATCAATTTTTTTCCGCAAACTAATAACTGCTAAATGTTTGCAATCTTTCAGAATGTTTTATTGGTGACATTGATCTTTTGCTTAACATTAGTCTGCTAACCTAGACAAAACAATAGCAAGATCGGTTTTCGAAGGCTGAAACCATTAATATATTTTCAAGCCGAATAAAAGATTGTTACAAAACCATTTTGTTAGTTTATTAAAATCAAGGCTCGTCTATATTATTCTATCATTTTTCTATACCTCTTTCTCAGTTTGCCACCACAAAAGTTGGTAATTATGCGCAATAATAAGTTAAATTTTTAATTTTTAGGCTGACATTATAATCAAACTACAATCAAATGTGTTTAAATAATAATAAATTTGAAATAAATTACCTTTAAACTCGTTTTGGTTCCCAATCAACCTATGTATACCTGGTACGGGGTTCCCAAAAATCAAACGGTTTTGATGCGTCATGAGGAAAAAAATTTTTTTCAATGCGCGCTCCTCTTTATAGTTTAGTTGGCGCCTTTGAAATTGATTTAAGGTTAATAATCAAAATTCGATGTCCTAAAGTTGTGACAAAAACACAATGCTTTTTGTATAATGAATTCAATTTTAAATCATTGTTAAGAATCTACTCACGTCGAAACCCTTTTCATGATCGAAGTAAAAAAAAAACATGTTATTTTTAAGGTAAATTTTTTTCTTATTTTTTCTTTCAGCAACTGTGACTTTCGAGATTTGTAAGCAGATTCCTCAAGGACGCTCCCTTTGTTCTTGTTTTGCTTTTTCAATTTCTTTAAACAAAATTTCAACATGTTTAAAGACTTGTCTCTGGCTTCCAGTATTATACAGACACAAAATTATACGCCTATCCAGTGCAGAGTTTGGCCTCGTAATGAGTTTAATTGTCAATTATTTTCGGAACAGATGAAAATATTTAGATTCTGCATTTGGAACCAGTCGAATACTACCTGTGTTCGACTATATAACTTGTGTTTGAATGTATATAGAAAAAAAAACTGATTTCATTTGTATTTTAGATGAAATTTTTTGTTTCCTTTGCGGTTTTGATTGGGCTTGTTCTTTCTGATTCTACTACAAATTCAGTTAAAAACGACTCTCATGCTGAAATTTTCGTGGCATGGAAACAAAAGTACGAAAAAGAATACTTATCAGGAGTGGAGGAAAAGTACAGGTTCAGCATCTGGAAAAAGAATTTGAAACATGTGAGTTATGCCTCCTTTCGAATCTTTTGAGCAGCTTTTGTCAGGAGGAGTATTTTTTACGGTGTTGTAGTAACCAAATATCACCAATTTTGTCAAATATTTAAACGAAAAAACCTATAAAAACACGTTTTCATAACAATGAGCGATGAACGCAGAACATTGGAGGTTAGATTGATGAATAGACCAAATCTTGATTGATGTAATTTTTTGAAAAATGATTTAATGTTTTGTTATATAGGTAAAACAAAAATTTCGGGTTGTTTTAACTCTGAGATATAAAGATAAAATGAACAAAAATTGTTATATTCCAATCAAATTAATAGAAAACTGAACAAAAAAACTTTCTCTAATCATCAGCAAAAAGAATTTTAAAAAAATTGCGCAAGTTTGATATGCGCCAGTATATATATATATATATATATATATATATATATATATATATATATATATATATGTGTGTGTGTGTGTGTGTGTGTGTGTGTGTGTGTGTGTGTGTGTGTGTGTGTGTGTGTGTGTGTGTTTGTATATATATATATATATATATATATATATATATATATATATATAATATATATATATATATATATATATATACGTATTTTTAATTCATAATGTGAACAGGGTAAAACAATTGTGCAGACTTGGATTCAGATACATACATACATATGCCTGATCATCTATTTTTTGGCCCCAGGTGATGCTGCAAAACCTCAAGCATGACTTGGGATTGTCGACTTACAATCTTGAAATGAATAAGTTTGCCGATATGACTGCAGAAGAATTCGCCTCTCAGCGTCTGGGTATGCGTCTAATCCTCAAAGCTGAACCTACCAATGACGAACTAAGCCCAACTGTTGCTATGAACACTATACCTGATAGCCTTGACTGGAGAGATTATGGCTATGTCACTGATGTTAAAGATCAGGGTGCATGTGGAAGTTGTTGGTCTTTTTCTACTACTGGGGGAATGGAAGGACAACATTTTAATTCCACAGGTAAAGAAAAACGGCTTAGATTTTTTGGAAAATTACAAATTTCTTCATGTGCTGTAACTTTAAAATTTTTTTATAAAAAATGAAGATAATTTGAAACTGTTATACATGCTCTATTCAATGAACTTTTGATTGGGGTTTAAATATATTGCGAAATTAATGCTTTTTGTTTTTGATAAAAAATAGATAAAAAATTTTCGAATTCTTTGTGAAAAAGTTTTTTTTGTTTTTTTTTGGCTACATTAACTAAACACACCAAAATTTAAAACGAATAAATTAAATCGGAGAACTTCTTTCTTTCTTATGTAATGTTTCAAAAAGCATTAAAAAATTTTAGGAACGCTAGTCAGTTTAAGTGAACAACAGCTGGTAGATTGCGAGTACGTCGACAACGGTTGTCACGGAGGTCTTACCAGTGATGCTTTGACTTGGGTTATTAAAAACGGTGGTTCTGCGTCAGAAGCCGATTACCCTTATTTTTCCGGAACAACGGGACAACGAGGAGCTTGCCAAACTAATGTTTCAAGGTTCACATTTAATATAATAACTGAAATGTTATATTCCAATTAGACTTTAGTCACGTTAGAACTTATCCAAGATATCATTTCCAAACAAAAACTTCTTATTTAGTCAATGTTTTTCAAGTTCTGGAATAATAATTGACATTTTTCAGTGTCGCCACGTTTTCGACCTTCATTGCAACACCGCGCTATAATGAGGACTATCTGAAAACAGCTGTAGCGTCAGTTGGTCCTATTTCGATCGCAATTGACGCCAGTGGCCATGCTTTCCAGCTCTACAGGCGAGGAATATATAACCCAACCAGCTGTAATCAGTATTTATTGAATCACGGAGTGCTGATTGCAGGTAAGAAAGCCTTTAAAGATGTTAAAAAGCAACAGTAATTCAAACGTTATTCTTGTTTTGGTTATACTTGGATATGAGTAGTGCCCAAATAAGTATTAAGAGTTTTGTCAATTTTTCAATATAAGTCAAAATAAAAATTGCTATTGCTTAACAAGGAAATTGTTGGAAGATAAATTTGGAGTTTTTTAAGTTTTTTTTTGTGAATTGTTATCATTCGTATTGAAATTATTGATTTTTGAGCGTTTTCTGTTTTGCTTTTTGTTTAGATGGTACGTTTTTCGATACTGTTTTGACGAACTGAGATCAGTTAATCAGAAGCCACATGATTTAGTTTTGAAATCAGTAACCCAAGTTCACATAGTGGGAGATTTCTTCATCCGGGAGGGACCAAATACGCAAAAACTTTTTTTAGCCAATCAGAGCTCAGTATTGAATACTGAAAAAGTTTATGCGATCAACTTCAGTCATTTTTGTAACGTGTAAAGGGCGTTGATTGGTTCAATTTTTTTGCGAGTTTGATACTTCGCGCGTGAGAAATGCCCCCAAGGTTGTGATAATATAGAAAAACTGCTGCTAGGCTTATATGAAAATCTCGCTTGAAAAAACACCCCCCCCCCCCATCTCTTTTAAAACGGGAAAATTTTTATTAGAATGATGAAATTATTACAGGCTATGGATCTGAAGACGGAACTGATTACTGGTTGGTGAAGAACAGCTGGGGGGCTAATTGGGGAGAGGCGGGATATATCAAGATGATCCGAAATGAAAACAACAAATGCGGAATTGCAAGTCAGGCAGTGTACCCATTGGTGTAGAAAAAAATCAAGAGACATTGGATTATCCAAAATATTAATGGAATTGACTCATTGCTTGGTAAATATTAGTTGGAAAAACACTTCATGCAAAGTGCGCTATTTCTAACCTCCTAACGTACTCCAAAAGTTCTAATTGACTTGGATGAGCTAACTTGATTTACCGGTTAATATAAATATAACAATCATTGAGTTTACCGGCAGGTCAATTTTTTTCACTCATCACAACCGATCAGAAATCATGATACGATCTCCCAAAACGAGATAACAATCGTGATAACAATCCTTCTTCCTAATCGTAAAAAAGTATATGCTCGCAACTTCTAAAGAAAGACAACATCATCCATCTTCCACTACAGTAAAACACTAAAACTCTGTAAACCCTAAAACTCTGTAAACCCCGGATGGGCGGCACCAGATCTAAACTAGAATTTATTATTGGATATGATTCTGATATTTTATCTCTATAAAATTGAATACTAACCAATCATACTCCATTAAACTAACAACCCACTTATTTGTAAGTGCTGAAACAACTTGTAGTTTCAGCACCAGAGCAATTTGAATAAATCTTCGAAGACAGTTGTTCTCTTTTGGAACAAGTTCCATAAACCCAACTCGCGAGTTCCAGTATACACTAGATCTATTGAGACTAGGAGATATAAGAGTGAGGTTAAAATTGGTATTAGACTTAGAATTTGCACGAATCTATCCGGCCGAAAATAAGATAGCGTGACGAGCAGACGGTGTACCTTACCTGAAATTATTCTATGAGTTTACCAAGTAGGTCATAACTCATCTGGTGCGACCAGTAACTTATCTGGTGCAACCAAAAGTCTCGAACAGACCTTAACTAACCTAGATTTAGAAAAAAAAAGATTAGAATTAGACAAACACAACATTTTTCAAGAATGTTATATGACAAAACTTAGTAGAAATGTCTTTACGACTCAATAGATCAGATCCCATTTTCCGAACAATACGAGAACTAGCCGGTATAGGAAGCAGACCTCGGACAAGAGACGACGTACGACTAGGAAGAAATCTACCAATCGATTTCATGATTCTACGACAAAAACAATATCAAATTTTTATGTTTAGAATACTTCCAGCAGTAAAATTAAATTTCCCTTTACTGACATAAAATTTCAAAGAAACATCCTCAATAACCTTTCATGGCGCTAAACCTAATAATTATACAATAACGACCGATAAAAACAACACTAGTCGTTCTTCTTGAAAAATCTGCAGTAAATTAAAAATTTCTTGAAAAAAAATGTAGTTTCTCACCAGAGCAATTTGAATAAATCTTAGAAGACAGTTGTTCTCTTTTGGAACAAGTTCCATAAACCTAACTCGCGAGTTCCAGTATATACTAGATCTATTGTGACTAGGAGATATAAGAGTGAGGTTAAAATTGGTATTAGCCTTAGAATTTGCACGAATCTATCCGGCCGAAAATAAGATAGCGTGACGAGCAGACGGTGTACCTTATCTGAAATTACTCTATGATTTTAACAAGTAGTTCATAGCTCAAAACTTTTTTTACTTCAAAATTAACATAGCCTGAAGTAGTGTTTCAATTTTTCTGCTCTCTTTCTGAGAAACTAGCAACTCGACATCGTTCTTTTTGGGCAGTTAGATCCAAAGATTGATCAAGGAATTTTTTTGTTGTTGAAATATAGTCTTGGGACCACAAAAATTCGACAATTTTTTGCTCTCAATCGAGCATTCGAGGAAATGCTTTTTTTGCATTTGGATCAATTTCGGCATCTGATTATTTAAAGATACAAGACCGTGACATATGGTTGTTAAAACTTATTAAAACAATCCCACAGGATAAAAACTTGAAAAAAATGGGCGTAACAGTTGACCAGTTGATTGAATCTTGATACAAATATTTTTAATTGTTGAAAAATTCTGTTTAAATTATGGTTTAGGTCTTAGCCACAAGTTTTTGTTTGGGACGAAAATGATTCTGCAGTTCTCCCTTAGAGCGCAAATATGTTTTGATCAAAATTGAAAAAATATATATAATAAAACATTTGAATAAACCGTCTGATTGTTTTTGAATGTAAACATGTGTTCAAACAACATAGAGTACAATAATAGCTATTTCGCAAAGTTTTCTGAAAAAACCAAAAAGTCGCCTGATGAATACCACCGAAAAAAATGGCGATTTGTGTGGCTTGAAAATTATTTCAATTGACAGGCATAAGCGGTTAAAATGTTTGAAACGTCTCAACCGCTCTTACTTGAGTCGTATAACTGTTTCATTTGCCCTGATTTGCAGCTAATTTTCCGATTTGTAGTTAGAAAAAATATATTTGTCCCAAATATTTTTCAATTGGTGGATTTGGGTGAATATTTTAACTGATCTTGTTATATTCACGTCAAAAGACAAATTGTGTTTTTCTCGTGAACTATCAGCAGATTATCTGCAGCCGGCCAAATTCGCAGCATTGCTAGTTTCCTTTGTTCTTTGTTGCTGATAAACAGTCCACGAACAAAAAGCTAAAACACTTTATTGCCCCAAATGCATCATTTTTTGCGGAATACACAAACAACTAAAAAGTATAAGTGTTAAGTGAAATTGCGTTGAAGTCGAATCCGAAAAAAAAATCGGAATCTGCAAAACCTAAGTGGAATCCGCAAATAATAAACACAATTTTAATTTTGATTGCTGATTACTGTAACATTTATAGTCATTTTTAGTTAGAGTCATTCTTAGTTTAAGTCACATTATTCAAAACAAGACGCAACCGGTTGATATGCGGTGTAAATTTGAAGATTTCAAGTGAAGGATATTGGAGGAAGTCTATGGAATCTTTGCCAAAATTCAAAAATTGGATGAAGTGAATAATTACACATTGATTTTAAATTTTAAAAATCCAAAGACAAGTCTTAAATCACGTTAAAAGTTTGTAGAAACAATCAAAGAAAAAGAAAAAACAAAATAAGAAGAAAGCGAGCGACCTTGGACCTTGTTGCTGAATCCGCGTACAATTCACAAGACACACAGTTTGACCTGCTAATGGATGTTCACTTGCAGAACACCGTTGACGCATTGCACAACTTTCTACCCTAAATTTCAAAAATGATTCTACTTCTTCGGCGCGTTTCCCAAATATTAATCCCAAAAGCAGCTGCTAGGATTTTTTAAGAGTCACACCCACAATTTTAGTTAAACTTTAATTTAAAATTTGATGGAGGGTTCCACTGACAAAAGCTAAATTCTTGCTTTTAAATTATCTTTTCTTAGATTTTAATTCTAGGTCTAGCTATGAGTTTTTCTCATACAAAATTAATTTAGAGTAATGCATAAAATTGCCGAATCCACGTATGTTTTGCGGATCCCACTTACACTTGTGGAACCTGGAGCAAATTGTTATTTCCGCTGGTTGTGGAAGCCGTAGCAAAACTAGCCTGAAGACAAAAAATTTTGTTTCACTTATTTGTACATGGAATTCAAGAAAAATTATTTGTACAAGGAATTCATGGAATTCAAGGAAATACATCATGATTTTATTTAAGTACTTCTCGCTGAAACCCAGTGACCTACAGACTCGAAATTGTGCGCCTATCCAGTGCAGAGTTTTGCTACGTAATTTACAAGATAATTTGCACTAGGAAAGCGCAACTTTGATGAGTTATGATGAATGGTCAGCCGACATATCCAAAATATGTTACACATTTTGATCCAGTCAAGCCCTTCGACATCCGTCAAAATTTTAACTATTTATCTCAAGTAGCAACAAAAAAGTAAAACTTTGTTCAGCAATTAGTTTCCTCGAAAACTGTTAAGCGATGTCCTAGAATTGTTACAGACTTTCCGCTCAACCATGGAAATTGAATATACAGAGAAAATTGGCGGTTTTTTTTCTAAAACGATTTTCAGAAATTTCCGGTCTATGCAATGATTACGCAGACCTTGTCAATCTACTCAAGTGATTTCATTCGAACAACTTATCTCAATTTTTTTTGTTCTTTGATGTTTAAATACAACATCATGGGTTTCTTAAGTTGTTCTTTGATGTTTAAATACAACATCATGGGTTTCTTAAGTTTTATTCATTTTAAAAAAGCAATAAAATTCATTGCAATTCATTTATAATCGATTAATTTTCAATATAATAAATAAAAACAGTCAAACTATCTTATAATTGATTTTTTTCTTTTTTGAGATTGATTTTGATCCAGTCAAGCCCTTCGACATCCGTCAAAATTTTAACTATTTATCTCAAGTAGCAACAAAAAAGTAAAACTTTGTTCAGCAATTAGTTTCCTCGAAAACTGTTAAGCGATGTCCTAGAATTGTTACAGACTTTCCGCTCAACCATGGAAATTGAATATACAGAGAAAATTGGCGGTTTTTTTTCTAAAACGATTTTCAGAAATTTCCGGTCTATGCAATGATTACGCAGACCTTGTCAATCTACTCAAGTGATTTCATTCGAACAACTTATCTCAATTTTTTTTGTTCTTTGATGTTTAAATACAACATCATGGGTTTCTTACAGCAAAATCGCTCCAGCTCCTCCATGTTGTGAGCAAAAGCAATAATAAAGTTGCTCGTGGCGCCAAATTTATATTTTGCGACCCCAAAAATACAATTTGAATGAGTTTTGGTGATATATTGAAATATTGATGATCTTTACAAGCTATCAAAGTCCATCCAAATCGATTTTAATCAATAATTTTTGACGCGAAAACTGATCCTCCAATTTCAAGATATCAGTTACTATGTTAAAGGTTAGTCATTTTGAGTCAATATCAAATTTAGTTTAAAGCATAAAAACAGTCAAACTATTTTTAAACGTTGAAAGAAACCATGAATAGTACTTTAAAATTATTTGCGGCAATAACAAAGAATTTGGGAGTTAAAATTGAGAAAGTTGAAAATTGGTGTTAAGGAACCAAATCATTGAAAGAAGATCACCCGCATGGAAATTTATGCATGAGCATCGGTTAACTTTGAATTTTGTTAATTGTGTCCATAAACG